GGAGGAAAGGAAAAGAGAATAGGATTCTCCCTTCCCCCTCTTCCCTTCCTACTCCAAATAGGAATAGGAAAGGGGGGAGGCCGAATTGGGAGGTGCCCAAGTAGGATTCCTCCTACTTGGGGCACCCCCTTGGCTGCCTCTCCTCCCCTCCAACCTATATATATGAGAGGGGCACCGGTAGAACACACAACAAACATTGTTAGCCGTGTGCGGCGCCCCCCTCCACAGTTTACGCCTCCGGTCATATTCACGTAGTGCTTGGGCAAAGCCCTGCGTGGATCACTTCACCATCATCGTCACCACGCCGTCGTGCTAACGAAACTCTCCCTCGACACTTTGCTGGATCAAGAGTTCAAGGGACGTCATCGAACTAAACATGTGCAAAACTCGGAGGTGTTGTACGTTCGGTGCGTGATCGGTCGGAACGAGAAGAAGTTCTACTACATCAACCGCGTTGTCAAACGCTTCCGCTTTCGGTCTACAGGGGTACATGGACACACTCTCCCCCTCTCGTTGCTATTCATCTCCTAGATAGATCTTGCGTGAACGTAGGAATTTTTTTGAAATTGCATGCTACGTTCCCCAACACGTGCCTCTCATGCGGAGGGTCGCCGGCTTGGGAGGGGAAGGATGTCGCCGGCTCGGGAGGGGAGAGGTCCGGCACATATGCCACAGAGGAAGGAAGAGAAGAGATAAAGAGGAAGAAGAAATAAAAGAGGAAGAGGAAACTTACATGTGGGCCCCACATGTAAGTTAACGGGCAAACTAAGGTCAAACTAACGGTTTGTTTAGGTGCGGGCCCAACCTATCATAATCATGATCAACTGATAAAGACTCGGCGATTTGGGTTTTTTTGAAACAGCCAACCACCTACTTGGTAGTTATCTGAGAAAAATTAAAAACCGATAGTTTTTTGGAACCCTAGCATGTAAAGTAGTAGTTTTATGCTATTTACTCATTGTGGAACGGAGAAAGTATTTAAAGTGGATCTTATTTGAAAGCCCTCATCATATGAACACGAATATGCAAATGAAATATAAATTAGACTTTCGGTTTAAAAGATATAATATATTTAAATTTGAATGCCAAAGGAAATAGCATGGGATGTGGAATGGGCAAGTTTCAACTATTAAAATTTGGACATTTGTGTTCCCAAAAGCTGTCTAAGTGGACCTCGTCTAAGATAATTAGGCAAATAAAGCACATGCAAAGACCAAACCAGTTTATAAATCACAAGGCAATCAGGCGGCCACAAACTTCGTTCCCCGCAACTGCGTGTCACAAATCCTCTCCCTCCCGCTACCGCCTGCTCCATCTGTCACGCACACACGATGCCATGACATTTCAGCGGAGCAAGTTGAACCCGCATATTCCGTTTCGAAAGGAAAAATGCTTTCGCCCGCATGCGCTCGAGAGAGCGTAGTCGTTGCGAGCCTGAGCAAAGATGGAACCCGTATGACAAGCTCTACATACTAGCTTGTCACGGTACAATGGAATATCCAACGTATATGTCGACCCCCTCGAAACATGTACCTCGAATATTCGCACACCGGGCTCGGCTCTGCGCAGGGCAACGTACGTACGTTTGACGCAGAGTAGTCAGGAAGAAAACGGCTATTCATGGAACGATTACATCATTACATACATGCGAAATATTTGGTGCCCGAAATGTTACCCCCTTTTTGTTCTTTTTTTGCGAAGTGTTATCCTTCTGTGTCACGTAGTACTGATCTAGCACCGCTGCTAGAAGCGTGCACTCACTTTCTTTTCCCGCACGCAACAAAAAGCTCGACGGAACAATACGTAAAAACAGGAAAGGTCCGAAAACTGCATGCGGCTGACGGCATGCAGCCCAACGGGGGTAGTTTTGCTACCGTGTGTGTGCACGCTTGTCAATCGCGTTTGCCGGCTGTGGAGTGGTATCATACACCACACGGCAACTTCAACTTTTAACTCGTAGAAGAAACGTATACGTGGACGCTGAGGGTGAGTGAGACAGTTCAGTTCACTTCCCTGGCCAGTTCTTACCTGACCGAGCTGCGAGCTCTGGCCTATCCAAGAAAACGCCGCGATGGATGTACTAGCGAGCCTCAGCCTCGTCACGCGCCCAACAGGGCAGCATGATTACATGGACATGTAGTACCAGCCCTACAATAATGCCCGCACATGGTGGACCAAGCTTGGCGTCAGTAAGAAATGAGTCCGTAAAATTGCACCGGAGAGCGGAGATCCACGAAACGGAATGGCCCGTACGTAACATGGTTTACGTGAACCCTATATACTGTACTACTACTATAAGCTCATCGTGGTTTACGTGACGGGAAAACGCATCCAAGTCATGAGCCATCGAATCGGATCAGTCGTCACCACCCGTGCAACTAGACGCGCGAATCTCCCCAATAACAATGCGTGCCACATGGAAGGGTGACATGGATGCGTTATCCCGTCGCTGTAGATCAACAGCAACCCAAAGAAAACAAGATGATCGTGGCCGTCTCAAGCGCCACAAGTAGTAGCAGGTAGCACAGAAGAAAGCAGAAAGCCCCAAGGGCCCAACCGGAAAAGAAAGGCTGGCCACGCGCCAATTGGGCAGGCAGAGCCAGACAGTGACATGCAATGCAATCTCCATGATCTCGCATCCTTCCTTCCCTGCTCTCCTCGCCCGCCTCCTCTTTTCGCTGCGATTATTACGCTTGCAAGGCACCCAATCGGCGTCGTGCACACGCTGCCCGTCGCTTTCTTAACCATCCCAGATTCCCAGTGAGCAGTGGTAACTTGCCGTGGTGTCCCTCCTCGCCTCGATCGTGCGCGCGTGTGGGCGTGGCCGCTATATATCCGCGCGAGCACTGGCCATCGCTTTCTCGCTACACCTTTGTTAACCAACCGCACTGCCGCCGTCCCCGTCTGCCTCCGGCCAGCAGCCATGGCGAGGGGTTCCATGGCCGCGGTGCTCGCCGTCCTGGCCGTGGCGGCGCTCCGGTGCGCGCCGGCCGCCGCGGAGCTCCCGCTGGTGGAGCACCCGGCCAAGAACGACGGGTCGCTCAGCCTGCTCGTCGTCGGGGACTGGGGCCGCAACGGCACCTACAACCAATCCAGGGTCGCGGAGCAGGTGCGCGATGATCCTTCCTAGGCCCGATCTCCTCTTCCTCTTGGTTCGCCAGTAGGATCGTACTACGGCTTGAGCTCGTAACCGCGCGCCGCGGCAGGGTCGTTGCGATTGGGTGGATGGGGGAGGAGTGGAGGACTGGGGAATGAAAACCGGCTGGTGGTTGGTCCACTTGGCATTTCGGTTATTGTTTATTGGATTGGAAGGGGTCGTCTTGATCTTCTGCCTCCTTCGTGCGTGCGTGCGTCTCCGAGTTTCGCGGGCAGAGCTGCTGCTATGCTGACTCATGGGGATTCTTCGTTGTTGGCGCAGATGGGGAAGGTCGGGGAGAGGCTGGACATCGACTTCGTGGTCTCCACCGGCGACAACTTTTACGAGAATGGCCTCACCGGCGTCCATGACCAGCAGTTTGAAGAATCCTTCACCAATATCTACACCGCCCAGAGCTTGCAGAAGCCGTGGTACCTCGGTAAGCTTCAGTGATTTTATCATCTCCCTCTTTTTTCAGAGAAATGGGAAGCTTTTCAGTGCTTTCTAACGTGCTGCTGCTAAGGCCTGGACGTTTTTGTTCCTTTCAGTTCTCGGAAACCATGACTACCGGGGCGATGCGCTCGCACAGCTTGACCCGGTCATGCGCAAGCTCGATGAGAGATTCGTTTGCATGAGATCATTTCTTGTCAATGCAGGTACATCGTCATATTTTGTTTGAGCAAAGAAAAAGATTATATTTGTACATTTCGGATTTATTTTTTTCAAAAAGATGTTATACTTGTAAGAACAGCATAAGACTTGACTATCATCCATCCCTGTTCTCTCAGAGATCGTGGAGTTCTTCTTCATCGACACCACTCCATTCCAACTCAAGTACTGGACTCACCCCAAAGACAGTCACTACGACTGGAGAGGAGTGGCGCCTCGAAAGGACTACATAGCTAATCTGCTGAAGGTGCACACGTCGAATAAAGATTCTCATCCATGTTAGTTACAAAGCAAAATAAATTCACATCCCTTTTCCGTAAATTTTACAATCTAGGATTTGGATGAGGCAATGAAGAAATCAACTGCAAAGTGGAAGATTGCTATTGGGCATCATACCATGAGGAGTGTCAGTGACCATGGGGACACCGAGGAGCTCCTGCAATTGCTTCTTCCAGTCCTCAAGGTAATTCATAAGTAGCCTCATTATTAGTTTTAAAAAGCACAGAAAAAGAATCGTTTTATGACACTTTCATGCCCTTCCAGGTTAATGGCATCGACTTCTACATCAATGGGCACGACCACTGCCTCGAACACATTAGCAGCAGAGACAGGTTAACAGCGTTTGATAAACATTGTTCTTTTAAGAACAGAGCAGTAAGGCGTTAAATTCACACTTGTTGAAGTTGTCTAGCCTTAACGCATGTGCTTCTGTTGTACCAGTCCAATCCAATACTTCACTAGCGGAGGCGGTTCAAAAGCATGGAGGGGAGTCTACCAGCCAAATGATGATAAGATCCAGTTCTTTTATGATGGGCAAGGGTTCATGTCCCTCCAGCTAAACCAGGACCAAGCTGACTTCATCTTTTATGATGTTTCTGGGAAAGTCTTGTACGAGTTTACCTCGCACAAAACAAACCACTTCCAGCCCTCCATCTATGTCACTGCAGAATGAGGGAGATGCAGATCATGGCAGGAGAATTAGTTTGGTAGCGCTATTTGTGAAAAAAAATTGAATGTGCCACTGTGGTAACAGTGGTAAAGGTAATAGATTGGTATTAAGTATGGTGCGTGGTTCAGCGCTGAAGAAATATTAAACTGGCTGTGAATTATCTACAATAAAGGAGCAGAGATGCTCAGTATGGTGTCCATTGGTTCTGATGCATACATTAGTCACAGGGATCTATTGATGCGATGTGCATTTAGAGAAATATATGCATAAACTCTAATATTGTACCATGCACTCAAAAAATTAAATGAACTCTAGTATCTGGTGGTGACCTTTGCATATTGGTATCAGGATTCAACAAGAGTGCAAAGACTATTTTCTTCAGCTTTCACAAATAAAGGACACTTGTTTGTTTGTGGAAGAGAGAATGCATGGGGATCTGATGAGCTGATATTTCAAATTTTCAAGAATCAATTAAACAAGTTTAAATTAACCAATGGATGGTCTACCACAATGTTTCAGACCATCAGAGAGATCCCCTTAACAGGTCATGCATTAAGTTTGGGTACTCAGATTGCAGAGGCCCCTAACTGCATTTTCAAGTGTTCCATGACACAAATAGTTGCCAAGAAAATATTACTTCAGGCATGCAAATTACAAGTACCAGAATAACTTTGTGTCAAAAACTGGACAAATGTTGCCAACAAAATATCACTTCCAGACATGCAAACTAAAGTACCAGAATAACTCTGGCAAAAACTCGACAACCAAGAAAATGGCAACCAGCTTGAGAGGTAACAGGCTAACAGCAGATAGAACGTTCTATAAAACAGAATAGGTCTATACTAAGCCACATGAAAGCTGTCTGAAATACATATATCAAGGAACGGTCTTCCATAATGTTTTAATACCAGCGAATCCATCTTAGAAATTACCCCAATGAGCAACAGTTAAATCCAAAACTCTCCACGGCCACATCAGACGTAATGCTACCTAACGCCATTGTTATGTTACTATAATTTTAATTTTTATAAGGGCAGTGTTTAGTTCCCTTCACCACATACCTGGGTGGGCTCGGAGGGATCTACAACAAAAATGGTTCCGTTGGACAGCCAATTTGGCAAGAATATCGACAACTTTCTCCTCAATTCTTCTGAATAATTCTCCCACATATCAAGTGCTAACACAACATCATCCCATTCAATAACAGAATCCACACTGCTATATGATCCAAATATGGTTTGTGCAAGTCCATGGTTACACGGTAATGGAAGTTCCGTTCCACTTGATTGCTGTACTTGTATAGTAGGGTAGCAAACTGTTTCTGAACCACCAGTAGTCTGGTTTCTCCTTGCTGCCAGCTCAGGTGCTTTCCAGTAGTAAAATTGCACCACCTAATTAAGAAATTTGAAATGAATGCAACTCAATTAACAGAAAAGATGTCAGATGTAACCTAGTTGAAAGATGTAGGTAAAAAAACTATCGTTTGTATCAAAAAAATTGTTCATGATATTGATCGGTGTCAACAAGCACATTCACTGAGCAATAAACTGATACTTTAAAATCAAGTTCTACAATCCACAGTGACGTTGGAGTAATGGCAGGATAAACTTGCAGGAAATGAGTGGCCAGGAAAAAACATTCAACAACTTAAAAGGGATAATATGATGCACTTGATAAAATTTCTTCACATATTCTTCAGCAGTTTTGGCATCCCTTGGGTTAAGTTTCTTTGGCACATATACTATGATAAAACAGCCTTATTGACTTAGTTTAAAAGGGTCTTTTGGTAGCGATGTTCTTAAGCATTTGGATCTTTTCAAGCTTCTGATCGGTCTTCTACATGCATGAGATGGAAAAATAAATATTCCAGAATTGCATATGACTAAACTCAGCTTTAGAAGAAGATTTTCATTAGGTTCACTGATTTACAACAGAAAATCAACTAGTCCCAAAACTCTGTAGAAGTAGACTATTTCTTGGAACTTCAGTACTTTACTATCATCCACTTTCTGAAATAGCATCTGAGCAGTCAGACGGGCTGTGAAACATTCTTGACCAAGTTAGTTTGCATAATAACATAGACTGTTGATCTTGCATTTGGGGCAGTAATGACTTAAAATGTTTCAAAGGCATACACAGTAGTTACAGGATGCACTGAATTTTGCCATGATTCAATTGGGCATGGAATTAATAAATGCAGGTTGCAACATAGTACAAATTCTGACAGATTCTACTATAGAGGAAACTAAATACCAATGCAATGTTCAGAAAGAATGATGGACTGTTTGGTTCGCTGCCCTCAACTGCCAAGCCAAAACATCGGCGTTGACTGAGACGTGGGCGTCCGTTTGGATCAGCTCCTATTTTTTGGCACACCCAGCCCATCTGCCCTCCCTACAACTGATTTCACGCCAATTTGTTGGCGAAAACCAGGGCGCGTGGATCGGTCAACAATTTTTTGGTCAGCCCGTGATTTGGCAGGGCGAAAGTGGGCAGCAACAAAACAGCCCCTGATTTATTTGTTGAATTAGACTTTTTTGTGCCCTTGTAACATGGATTGCCAAGAAGATTGGTTTCACCTACTCTTGACATGTAACTTCAGCAAGGGGCTGTTGGGCATTCACCAATAAGTACTCCCTCCGTCCCAAAATAAGTGACTTAATTTTGTACTAGCTTTAGTACAAAGTTACTACAAAGTTGAGTCGCTTATTTTGGGACGGAGGGAGTATGTTATAACAAGCCAAATTATCATTTATCAGCGGCAATGAGACAAAGCTTCTTTATAAAAAACTATTCACTCCTCACTGCTGGCATATCTTGTTTCAAAAGAATATATGCATATGATCCTATTGCTCTTAAACTGACTGCAGAATCAAATCCACTCAAAAAGGAAAGTATGCAGAATGCGGTTACCTGAAGAGCGTGCAAGCTGTTGGCAAATATCTTCCCAAAGACATCATCTGCCCTCCCAATTCGCAGTGGCTTCCCAAGCAACTCTATGGGGTCATCAGCTGGTGCAGCACATGTACTCTTGCTGTCTTCATCGCTGCTTGCACGAAAACTAAACCCAAGAATGTGTATTCTAGCACATCGTATGTCAAAGCCAGACTGATCGTAGGAAAACCAGTACATGTTATCTGAGGCTGGCAAAGGAATGTAAGAGTTCTGATCAGCTGGCTCATAGCTCAGTGATGTCTGGGATAGAAAACTAAGGAGCTTTGGATCCTCATCAAAAGAACTATCTCTAGTGAACCAAAGAGTAAGTGTCAGCCTTTCACCCTCAGTTACCTGTAAAAGATTTGCTATAGTTTGTTGATAAAAAGAAAAGTTCTTGTGTAAAACGTCAAAAGACTGAGAATATTTTGAGGAAAAAACAAAGGCTGCCAATGAATTGAGTTTTGCAAAGCCTATGCAAGGGAAAATAGAAAATATTTGACCATGAAACAATTAGTTCGCAATCAACCGTTGCTACAGCTGACTTTAACACATTTTCCCCATTTTGTTTCATAAATAGAAAACATTAAAAATAATAGAGAACTTTTATTGTATCTAAATAATGGCACAAAATATGATAACCAACATTAGTGAAGGAGAATAGGCGTGCATATACTACAGGAAAGAAAATCTGATCCACACAGAAAACAGAAACGTACCTCATCTACACAATGGACATTACGATTATCAGCAGTGTAGATGACAGCATCCTGAAAACAATATTAATTGACAGAAAATGAAAGAAATCATCCAATAGATTTTAGCCGGTGGAAGATAATATCCACATCAATGATTCTAAAAAAATGCATGTAGTGTGTGCTGCTTACACCAGCAACTGGAATAACAGAGGAGGGTTCACCATCCTGAAACTTCAACAGTCCACCCTTAAAGTCCTTTCCATGATTGTTCAAGTAGCACACAGCCTTTATAATTGAATCCAGAAGAGGGAAATAAAGTCAGCATGAGAAAGATCACATCTAAAAGAAGCAGAAAAGTAAGTGATCGGTGTGGGCAAAAACTTATAAGTGATCATCACAGCAGAACTAAGAAAACCTCTCCATGTTATGAATGGCTTCAATATCTAATCACAATGATAATACACAGATCGAAGCATATTTTCAGTGTGTGTTGGTTCTTAACAAACTCATAGTTTCATGGCGGTCATTTCTTACATTGTTCATGAAATTGGCAAGTATTTGCAACAGTCTATTAATGCAAAGCAGGATACATAATGGAATGTTTTTGTTTTACAGCAATACTTAACAACATCTTCCTTGCTTATAGTTCGCCAACAAGTAGGCAAATGGGAACTGAATCAACCAAAATGACAGTTAAGCACTAAGAGCTATGTGATGGCACTGACTCGGAATTAAAAACTCGAGATACAAGGAGAAATCATGCAAACTGACTGAATTCTCCAAATCAGATTGGTCCTCACCGTGAAGGCTCTTTGCCTAAGATAAGGTTTGTTGTCGTCACTGTGCCATCCAATAGAAGCCCCCTTGCACCAACTGCACGCCAAATATAGAGGTTTTGAATAAGGAGAGCATTACAGTGTCAAGTTATGTCAGGTCTCCTACATAAACTACCTTCAAGGTTTATGCGCACCATTAATAAGGTGACAACTTTTTTTATAAGGTTTATTTATGCATTCGTATAAAGTTAGTGGAGTCATGGGGGCAGCTACAATGCAAGGTGCGTATATGAGGGTACTATAAGCATATATGTAAAATTGACTTGCCCCAAGGAAACATGCTGATACCAATGTGAAACTAGTAGGATCGACCAGACAGAATGGCATGAAAGAGGTGATGCGACTGTTCAGCACCTGACTAGTCCGGTGAACTCGACGAAGAGGTCGAAGTGGCAGGAGAAGAAGGACTCGACGGCGTCGCGAAGTCGCTCGCGGATGGGCACGAAGGGGAGGAGTAGGTGGCCGCAGCCGGTGGCAGCCAGATGCGGCAGCGATGTAGACACCACCGAAGGCCGGTACCCCGCCGTCCCGCAGCTCCGGTGCACGAACTCCAGCTCCTGGACACGGTGGCCACCGTATGAGACGGTCGATTCGGATCGCAACAAGCTGGAGTTTGGGGCTCGGAGGAGGAGGGTTTAGGGGGAGGAGCGTGTGATATACCTTGCAGGTCTCGGGGGAGAGAAATCCAGGGAGAAGGAGGCGGACGTTGTCCTCGGTGGCGGTCGGCGGCGGCGAAGCGGCGGCGGTGGCCATGGTTGGAAGAGACTCGGAGATGTGGAGGGGGGAGAGGACAGACCGTGAGATCGGTGGGCCCCGCGGAAGAGGCCTTTGACTACGCTGACTACTCTGTCGACGAAATTGAGCAGCTGTTCAGCTTGTTTTTTTTTTTGCCAATGGCATACCATATTTTTTTTGAGAAAAGAGCAAAATATTTATAAGAGACCCACGATCGATGCGAACATCAATCAACGGCAAAATTGAGCATGACTTTGTTCGAGGCGCACAGGATGAAGGGATATACAGTAGTCGCTCATTTACGGCAAAACATAGGGTGCCCTATGGAGGTTGATCAATCCTGTCCCTGTAGTCCAAATCTAGGCCTTCTTTGATTTGGAAATTTTTTATGGGATTTCTAGAGGATAAAAATTTTGTAGAAAAAATTCATATGAAGTCATTTGGTTTGTAGGAATGGATTCCTATTCCTATATAGGATAGGAATCAATCTTTCATATTTAAAAGAAAAAATATTAGCCTAGACTCAATAAAAAAAAATTATCCTACAAATCAAGTGACATCTTTTTCTTTATAGAAAGTGAGATGCATGTCACATCATTTATCATGATTTTCCTATTCCTATGATATTTCTATTCTATAAACCAAAGAAGGCCTCCTGAGATGATACGGGATCACCGTATCATCTCATATCCACCCTAGAGATTCAGTCATGCATCAACTAGCGGTCCTACTGTGCGTAAGGCTGGTTGTAATAGGGAGTATCATAGACTAGTATCATGCATGCATACTATCATATATTGGTATCATAGAAGACTACGTTTATTGCCATGCATGACACCAAATAGCACATCATTTAATATGATACGGTATCATAATATGATACTCAAGTCTCTCTTTCTTCATTTAATACTATGCCACCTCATCAAAATTACTTAGTTGGCATATATGATACTACCTATGATACTCCCATTACGGGCAGCCTAATGTCCGTGTCATGACTCCAGAAGAGGGGATCCGCCTCAACAAGTCCCTTTGAAAAAGTGAAAGGAAGCAGCTATGGGCCCCACCTGGACACGTGGTTCGCAGGGGAAGCGACTGATGCGCGGGCGTGATTAGCCGGTTGATTTTAAACCCTTTCCTTAATGGATAGGAAACCTCCGGAGCACCTCACCTCCGGTTACAAAACGCACGCAAACAAACCAGCCATACCAATTTTCACACCACGTACGCATCTGCCTTCGTCTTCCAAAACCCCTCCAGCAATACCGTACCACACAGCCCCGCCGTTCCATGGCCACGGAGGCCATGGCCGGCGCCGTGAGGGACCTGGCCGCCCTCTCCATGCGGTTCCTCCTCCACCTCGGCGGCAACCAAACCAACCTGGCCTTCTCCCCGCTGTCATTCCACTACGTCCTCGTCCTTCTCGCTGCCGGTGCCACGGGCGACACCCTCAACCAGATCGTCTCCTTCCTAGGCCCCTCCGGCAGCATGGCGCACGCATCCCTCGCCTCCCATGCAGCCTCTGCTTTCCTCGCTCGGGGCAATGGCTCGGAGCCCGACGTCCGGTGCGGCGTAAGTGTTTGGGTGGATTCGTCGCTCCAGCTTAGGCCTGCCTTTGCAGACATGGTCACCTCCCAGTACAATGCCACAACTCAAGCCATGCCTTTCCAAGAAAAGGTGATTTATCTATATGAGCAATATGATTTACTTCTGCTGTTATTGCAAATTTTCTACTGGCTAGATTTGATCATCGCTTATCAACTCTTTGGTGTGTCGAATCTCTAATGAAGCCTGACAAGGCGAGAGTTGAGATCAACTGCTGGTTCGAGGACAAGACAGGCGGCCTGATCAAAGAACTCATGCCGGAGGGCCTGTTGGAAATATGAGCAAATTACTACGAGATTTAATCCGAATAAATAGGAAATAGATCATGACAGCAATAGCAGAGATTAAACTAATCATGCAAACTAGCATAGTAGATGAACATATCACATCTAGGGCACATACTAGAAACATGAATTCTACCACAATCTCGAACAGGAAGGATATAATCACATACGGTGCAGCGGGAGCAGCACCACCGGCGTTGACGTTGTCGCCCATGTCGTCGAGGATGAGGTTGCCGAGGTCGGGGAAGAAGTCGTCGTTCGCGAAGTCGTCGCTGCCAGCAGTCGCGTGAGTGCGCTCCCCAAAAACCTGATCGCCCCTCTCCCATACAGGATCACAAGAGGCGGGGTTCCGGAGGCCTGCTGTCTCTTTTCCCGGTGCACGCCGAAAGGAGGGATGGAGAAGACTTGCTTGGCGGCATAATGATCTAGAACGATGGTGAGAAATCATACGAAGCGACGGCGGGAAGGATAGACGTCTGCCTGACTATATAGTGCGGGCCGGGTAGGTCATGGGAGTAAACCCCACGTCCGAGTCGTCACGATCCAAAATAATCGAAAACGGTTCAGTAATTAATGCATCTGTTAATTATTAATTGATGACTCATTAATTTTTCCAATATAGACAACGTGCATAGCTCTGTCCTCGGCTCGGCTCAATCCCGCAACCCGTGGCGCGTCGTGACGAGGCATGGCGTGGCGTGGCGAGGCGAGCGAGGAGGAGGAGCGCGCGTGTAGGTCTCCTCTTCTCATGCTCATACAAGTGGTAGAAGAGCTCACCTTATAAATAGGTGCAACTCTCTCTCAACTTCCACGGTGGGACTAAACTTTAGCCTCACTCACTCCACTCACATGTGTGCATGAATGGGCCAAGAGAATTTCAGAATTTTAGTTGGGCTTTGGGCCAAAGGCCTACTAGCAAAATTCCAACAATCCCCCACAAAGTCTCATTGGCACATCTCATCATTTAGTTCCAAAACATTATTTATATACCGGTGCTTAGTGGAGACTGTGAAGTTGAACTTCCACTTAGAGATTTATGCTACACTAGATCACAACTTGAATAGTGGACTATGCCTTGAACTACAAGTTTTCTGCGATACTAGTTTCACACAAATTCTTGACCGATACTGGGTTGCCGCAAGGCTTCCCCGCGGGTGGAGCGTATGCGTCATACTCCAGGGCCTTTTCATGAATTTATTAGAGAACACCCAATTCTCATAGACTGTCACGTTAACAATCAAATTCATATAGGTGTGTTCCTCAGAAGATGTTCCGCAGGACAACATCTCTACTTACCCGAACAAGCCACTTGGAACACATTAAGATAAGTATCAACCTGCCATGTAGATCAGGAGAGTATTGCATCTTCATGGAGTGGGATAGGTAATATAGGGATACTCTCCTCCCAGCTGATCAACAGCTTGTCTCCCACTTCTACTTCACAGGATCTCCGATCACATAGAGTGGGTTACCACTATGGACAACTCATGCGGTGGGTCTCAGACCCATCTCCATCGATGCATTATCTATCACATTACATGATAGACCCTTTGTGAAGGGATCTGCCAAATTTTTCGACGTTTGGATATAGTCCAACGTAATAACTCCGGAGTTCCTCAATTTTCTGACAGATTTCAGTCTCCTCTTCACATGCCTTGAGGACTTCATATTGTCCTTAGAACTATTTATCTTGACGATCACAGTTTGATTATCACAGTTCATCAGGATAGGGGGTATTGGTTTTTCAACCATAGGTAAGTCCATCAAGAGCTCATGAAGCCACTCTGCTTCAACAGTGGCAGTGTCTAATGATGTGAGTTCTTCTTTCATAGTTGGCCTCGTTAAGATGGTCCGCTTGCAAGACTTCCAAGAAACAACGCCACCACCAAGTGTAAAAATATAACCACTTGTGGCCTTAATCTCATCAGCATCAGATATCCAGTTTGAGTCACTATAACCCTCCAGTACCCTTGGATACCCGGTGTAGTGAATCCCATAGCTCGCGGTGCCTTTCAAATAGCGCATAACTCTCTCAAGCGCATGCCAATGATCATCTCCCGGTTTTGACACAAACCGACTCAGCTTGCTAACAGCAAACGAGATGTCAGGCCTCGTGGCACTCGTCAAATACATAACTGAGCCAATAATCTGAGAATACCTCAGTTGATCTCTAGCAATCCGTCGATTCTTTCGAAGCAACACACTAGCATCATATGTAGTTGGAGAAGGTGAGCAGTCGCTATACCCAAAACGACTCAAGACCTTTTCCACATAGTGAGACTGAAGAAGTGTGATCCCACCATTCTCATCTCTCAACAGCTTGATGTTTAAGATAACATCAGCTACTCCTAGATCCTTCATCTCAAAACAGCGAGATAAGAAATCCTTAACCTCCTTGATTAAATCAAGTTTGGTTCCAAAGATCAATATGTCGTAGACATACACACAAAGAATAACTCCTTCGCCCCCACCATAGCGATAGTACACGCACTTGTCACCATCATTTACTACAAAGCCGGCAGTAGTTAATGTTTTTTCGAACTTCTCATCGTACTCCTTAGGAGCTTGTTTAAGGCCATATAAAGACTTTAATAACTTGCACACCTTTCCTTCCTGACCAGGTACTACAAAACCATCTGGCTGATCCATGTAAATTTCCTCCTTCAACTCTCCATTGAGGAAAGTTGTCTTAACGTCCATTTGATGAACGAGAAGACCATGTGAGGCAGCCAGTGATAGTAGCACCCGAATTGTGGTCATTCTAGCCACGGGTGAGTAAGTATCAAAGAAGTCTTCACCTTCTTTCTGGGTATAACCCTTGGCCACAAGCCGTGCCTTGTACTTTTCAATCATACCATCAGGTCTAAGCTTCTTCTTGAACACCCACTTACATCCTACAGGTTTGCACCCATAAGGACGGTCAGTGATCTCCCAGGTACCATTAGCTAAGATGGAATCCATCTCACTACGTACAACTTCCTTCCAGTAGTCAGCATCAGGAGATGCATAGGCTTCTGAAATAGTCCTGGGTATGTCATCCACGAGGTACACAATGAAATCATCATCAAAGGACTTTGCAGTCCTCTGTCTCTTACTCCTCACAGGAGTTTCATTGTCACCCTCAATAGG